TTCAACAAATATTCACTGAGCCCCTCTGTGATGGGCCCGGAGTGGATCCGGGGGAATTAGTAGTAAATAAATCATAGCCCTCCTTGGATGCACAGATTAGGAGAGGAAACAGAAGTATCAGCAGATGAATCACCGTAGCATAAAAGCTCCGGAGAAGTCGCAGGGAGCTCTGAGAACTCTTCATGTTTCCAATAAATGGCGGTGGCCATTTATTTAACCACCGATGAAACGCCTAGTTCTAAAGAGTTTGAGCTCAAGGAAGCAAGCTTATCCAGTTCTAGTTGGCTGCCTTCTGTCATGCAGGAGGGCCTGAACCTCACAAAGCCCTGAATGGCCCCAGCTCCACAGCGGTGGGCAGGCTGGGCTATGGCCAGAAACGACACAAAATTATGGTTGTAGTGCCAGGCCAGTGTGGCTCAGTGGTTGAGCATCCACCCATTGCTAAATGCCAGGCATGTGCCTTTATTTTAATTCTCTATTTTAATTCTCACAACTACTCCTCTTGGGTGCCTCGTATGCATTTAATAATTTCTGGGTCCACCTGGCTGGTGTTGCTCAATGGTTGAGCGCCGACTTTTGAGCCAGGAGGTCATAGTTTGATTCCTGGCCAGGGCACATGCAGGCTCGATCCCCAGTAGGGAGCGTGCAGGAGGCAGCTGATCAGTGATTCTCTCTCATCAATGATGTTTCTATCCCTCTCCCCTTCTCCCTTTCTCTCTGAAATCAATAAAAACATATTTTTAAAAGATTTATGGTTGTAGCCAAATGACTATGCCCTTACTTTGGTCCAGACACTGTTTAAAACACTTTAATTTATTGCACCCTCAAAACTACCCTGGGGAAAAAAACCAAAGAAAATAAAAGCACCCTGGAAGGTAGGTACTCTTGTCATTTCCACTCATAAAAATGAATCTGAGGCACAGAGACGAAGAGGAATGCCTCCAAGCACACAGTTTGTAAATGGTAGAGCTTATACCTTTACTAGAGGCCCAGTGCACGAAATTCGTGCATGGGAGCGGTCCCTAGGCCTGGCGGGCGATCAGGGGCGATCAGGGCCAAGCCAATTGGGGCCCGAAGGCCCCGGCGGGGTTAGGAGAGGAGGTGACGGTCGCCAGGCAGGGTGTGGAACAGATGCCAGATGCCAACACTGCCCTCGGTGCCCCGCCACCCCACAGTTCCACGCCTCCCCCCCTCCTCCTTCCCTTGGTGCCACACCACCACCAGAGGCCTGTTGGCTGGGGGAGGGACAGGGGAAGGGACCAGGGGAGGTTTTGATCCCCACTTAGGAATGTGCAGAAGGCAGCTGATCAATGATTCTCTGTCATCATTGATATTTCTATCTCTATTTCCCTCTCCAAAATCAATCAAATATGTATTTTTTAAATTTAAGGGTTTTAGAGGAAGAAAGGTAGGGCAAGGGAGCTATTGACGGAGGGCATTTGAGATCTTGCTCACATTTCAGATAGGATAACATAAGGTGGTCCTCAGGGGGTGACAGGTGAGGAGTGGCAGTGGGTGGAGCAGGGCACTGCGGGCTGAGGAACGGGCTGCAATGACTGGGGACGTCTGTGACAGTGACACCGGGCGTGTGTTGGGGTCATGGCTGGGATCGTTCATCCCCAAGGGGTTTTGATTCCGGAGGGGAGGAGAAACACGGAGATCAGCGGGCCTTTCTTAGCCTAGAAGGTGAGGCGGGCGGCAGGAGGGGGCTGCCCTGCTTCCCTACAAATGTAAACAGTGTAACTGGACATGGACGTCAGTCAGGGGTCAAATCAATGCCCAGCCAGCCCTGGTGGCTGTGTCCTGCCACTCTCTGGCTGTGCTGCGACGCTATTGGCCAGGGAGGCTGAAGCCACGCCCCC